AATATTATAAGAGGAGTAGGGTATACCGAAAGATATTAAAAGAGGTTAACCGGACTTTGCACTCGAATTGGAACGCCCGTTTAGAGAAGTAACTTTCATCTTACAAAAAACACAGTGTAAGAGTGCTATTGGTGTTGTTATGATTCCGTCGGCACGGTGATTAAAGTTCCAGGAGGCCTACTCTAATTCAACGAAAAACGAAATTTCGATTGAAAATTCGCACTTTTCTTACTTACATACTGTTTGTTGTTCGTTTGTAATTATAATAATATTCGTCGTCTGTTTCTGGTTCGTTTGTAATTATAATAATATTCGTCGTCGGAATACAGATTGAGGTGTAGATTTTCTAAGCCTAAGCCTTAAAGAAAGCTTCAATTTGATAGTTTATCGTTCAGATTAAGTATAACCTTAAATTGACGAAATTAAATTTTGTTTGAACTTCGTTATCGAAAGTTTGTTTCGGATAAAGAGAGTAGATCCCTAGGTCTTCTCAAACTAAAGTATAGGGTCAGGGTACAGAGGTGGCTTATCCTATGGTGCACGATGTGCGTGCATTGCACACGGGCGCACCCCTGAAATATTTATGGGTGCAGCGGTCTCAGGGGGTGCCGAGCGTCACTCGCCACCATTACATTTTGACCGCGCGCTTATACCGGATTCACACGAGGCAATTTAAGAGCCCTTTCACATTTTTTGCAAAATTTTTGAGCGCCTTATTTACCCCTTAGAAAAGATTTTGACCATTTCCAATATAAGTTAACAATAGAATTATTCTTCATATTGAAAGTTAATGTAGAATATTTGCAAATACTATTTTACTTTTTTGTACTGATCGTTCTACTGCAGCTAGTTTACAGAAAACCCGATCATATGCACAACTTCAAACGCCTGAATCTCTCAATAATGTTCAATAAATTAGATCAAATTAATTACTACGAGATCAGAAATATGCTTTTCTTGTAATATAATGTATTAGAATTTTGACTTTCTATCACATTAATTATCAAAAAAAAAATCTAACATTATCCAAAAAATAATGCAGGTTTACTTCGTATTTTGATATTGAATTAAATATAATTACTGCCAAAAATTTTCATAAAACTAATCTATCATCATTGAACTACTGAAATATGTACCTATGTATATTTTTATAATTAATTCATTAATACTTATTTTATAAGACTCTAAACATCACCCGTAAAACGCAATATATACTGCAAATCAAACATAGTGCAAATCTACCTACGCGCCGATTACGGCAGCGGGGCAATTTTGTAAAAGGGCTCTTAAATGAGCAACTTTTATACTTCAATTGGCTTTCTTCAATGTGATTGAAAGTGTGTTCAGACATTTGAAATCGCATGCGGTTTAGCAATTTATCAACTAAAAGCACCTCGTCTGAACCCGGTATTACAAGAGGGCGCAAGTTCAATGATTGCACACATTGCATGCGAGCGTTGCAAGGGCTAGAGACGCCTTTGCAAGTAGGCAACGCCTGACTGATGCTTTCGTCTATACGTCTATACTAATATTATAAAAAGAGAGACTTGATCGTTTGTTTGTATTGAATAGGTTCCGAAACTACAGGACCGATTCGAAAAATTCTTTCACATTAAATAATCCTTCATTATCCTTGAAGAACATAAAGATATTGGGTTCTGTATGAAAACTTCAATAATGTAACCCGACGTGTGTAAATATATAAAAATACAAAAAAAACCTTACCTCGCGTACGTTGCGGAAGTAATTGACAATTGAGCAAAGTGCTGTACTAAAGTTTATCAATATCTACAAAAAAATCCGCGATACCATAATATGTGTAACTATCACAGTTATGTCAGACCTAGAGGTCTCCTGCGGTTACGCCCGCGTTAATTTGAAGAAAAAGGTTATAGTGAGTAAAACTTAAAATATGAATATGCTGTCGCGGACTGTTGTACAGAACTTTAAAGGGGAACAATTCCATTATACCTGATATTTTTGTAACTTTAACCGTTTACCCAGCGGGCGCAACGAAATCTCACAAATGGAATATTTTTACCCGATTTTGCAACATTTTTCATCCATGATCCGCTGCTTCTGGCCATAGCGTAATGTTATATAGCCTTCCTCGATAAATGCACTATCCAATACAAAAAAAAAACGGAACAGCAGAGCTATGGTGCATTCGGTACAACGGGTCCTTAACTACGCAACAAAATTTTAATTTTTAGCCAAGGTTTATAATTATATGTATAAAGTCATTGTGTATAAAACAAGCCTGAGAACAATAACTATAGTCTACTCTACAGTTCTACACCGAAGCAAAGCGAGGGCGGACCACTAGTATCTAATAAATATCATCCAAAGGTATGGCTGCCGCTTACTCGAGATGGGCCATATGTCTGCCCTTCATACTAGAGAACAGTAGTTAACGACGGTCTTCTGATAGACGAGTGGAAGATACATCCCCTAACGGAAACGCTTACATTCAAGCGACGCATGATCGATGATTTTAAATGAAAAACATCTGTATGAATGTGTAAAACCCCATTATTAATAACGAGACTCTTCAAAGTTTTTTTGAGGTTTAATGACACTTTAGAAAGGTTTCATTAATTAATAACATTCCGATGCCAACATAATAAAGTCGGTTATTGTACCACGTAATGCTCAGAGGAATCGTCGCGAGCAAACTTCTGTCGGTTGTGTTCTTAATTTCGTTATAACAATATACTTGGTTAGGGCTGATATTGTTGAAAAGTAATTATTTTTCCACTAATTTATTTTTTTAGATACAAGTGGGAGCGGCTCTACTTCACCGAGAAGCCTAAATAACGTTTACAAAATAATAAAAAGTTTACGACGAACTCAAAAAGGTTATTAATTCTGTCCTTGTCCCACTTACAAAGGCATAAATAAAAGAATAAACCGGCCAAGTGCGAGACGAACTCGCGCACGAAAGGTTCCATACCATTATCTATACAACATTACACACTATATTATAATATCGAGCAAATAACGCCAAATTTAATCACAAGTCTGTTGTATCGGTCTTGCGCCGCTCCCATTCATCGGCTTTCCGCAATTTTCAGTAAAATCGTCGATCCACCTCGTATCGTCGATCGTGGGAAGGCTTACCCTACCCACTTAGCGTCGACCTGCGCGCGATCGATATGATTATTGTATATTTTTTTTACAAAAAATGTCCGTAGAAAAAAAATATCCTATAGCCTAACGTGCTATACGAGCCAACTCGAACTGATGGCAACCCTCATAGCCCAAGAACTTTGGCACGTCTTAGCAACGCGGTGCGGGACGCATTATCAGCCTACCACCGCGCCGACCGGCAGGAGTTCCCCCTCACAAATTGCTTGACTTTGTTTAACTTCGCTTATCCTACTTTGGGACAAATAACGCTGTTATTAAATCAGATTTCTTAAATATTGCCGGCCAGGGTACACGGTGTAATAGTGAAAGTGTGGGAACTTAAACGTTACATAAAATATTTTTGCAAGAAATTTATGAAATATCAACTCTTTTACACATACTAAATCCAGCCAACCAGAGTGGCTGGATTTTAGTATGTCTAAAAGAGACACTTAAAAAAATAAAATAATATGAAATGCAAGAACTAACTAATATTTTCGCACTGGCAGGAATCTGAGCATCCCGCGTCATTCTCATTTTTTTATAATAGTTCCAAGTTCTGAAAAGGCTAGTAAGCATTTAATTTGAAAATCCGATTAAATGCGATGTTAGACTGAAACATGAAGGGTTGCCGTATTCCTTAGCTGTAACTTTTTAAAAAACAAACAAAAACTCACTTGTAATTTCATTTGAAGTCCCAGAACGTATTTTGAACAGTAAAGGAGATTGGTCAAATTGGCCTAAATGCACAAAAAACATTGACATACACGGTAATTCTTCGCGTAATTTATAATTTAATTTACAGGCATTAGATTTCAACGGACACCTTTGTATAATATATTTAGTTTAAAAAGGATTTTTAATTTTACCGGTTTGGAAAACATACGAATCATTTTTAATGGCTATGGGTGTAGTAACATTCAGCCAAAAACCGATCGAAGTTGTTTATATATCATAAAAACGAATCTATTTTGTAAAGTTCGATAAAATAAATCTTTTTTTTATTGCACTGTGGTATTAATATCCACAACTATATTATCATTTCCACTAGATGCAAATGTGCTCAGACAATTATTATAGATGGTAGGCGACATCATAAAGTCTATTGCCATACATTTTTCGCCAAACACCTCCATAAACACATTATAATCTGTATATATGTTAGACTTTAAGGTATCTATCTATGGGCCTACGTTCCCTGACTATAAATTAATAAATAAATAAAATTATAAGGTGTGATACACTAAAAATCTAAAATATGGTTATCTTAAAAACATAACAAAAATAATGAAGATACTGAATGATGGCTATAGGACCTAAATCTCTTAGCTTTCTTTGGTTAACGAGTGTTTAAAAATTCTCTCTAATCTGTGGCTCATTCATAATCATCACACAGTTTCTTTCACAGATTACCTTATTATAACCGGAAATGACACCTGATTTTAAAAGTTACTCTTATTCATTAACTTTAAAAACAGGCAACTATCTGTTAATCTACATGCTCTATATACCTGAATCTAATCCATAAATTCGGTACTTGGATTGATTTCCCTAGTTTACTATATAACTTGTTTGTTTTTTTTATTTTAATATGTTCAGTGTTTATGGTTTATAGAAGTTCTCAGGGGTGTCCGTCAATAATATTTGTTTCTACAGTAATTTATATATAATTTCGAATCTAGGAAACAATTTTTCATGATTATTGGTCTTTAGGCCAAACATGTATGGAAGCTGAGCAATCTCCTTTGTCGATATTAACAGCCAAGAGAAACGCCAGGATTTTAATGATTAAGTATTCATATTAGTTATTTAGACACAAAATGGCACCAAATGTTTATGGCTTTTCTAACATCATTGTTATTTAATTTCAGTTGGTGAACAAATTCGATGAGCTGCTGTTCACAAAGAATGATGAAAATTTCGTGGAGGCGTTTGCTATCTTCTGCGGGATGGGTATTCACAACACACACATGTACGAGAAAGCCATAACGGCAATGGCGAAGCAAAGCGTCACATTAGATGTAAGTTTTACAACCACCATTATCTGATAATTCTAAGTTACGTTAAAAATAGTATATAGGAATTAGTAGCAGACAACTTTTTATGACCTTTTTTAGACTTTTTTGTATGTATAATTGCTACTGCGCAGGCTTCCTTGTCTATGGCCGTTGCTCAAGAAGTTGGCCGGAATCGATAAGTACTACTTATGTGTTCGATTTTTGAACTTGTAATGAGCAAAGTGAGAGAACATTTTAAAGGAAACTTGGGTCTTGCAAATAACGTAATGCATTTCGTGTTATCTGCAGAATTTGGAAATCGGAACAGTAAATGGATAGGAACTGAAATTTGACTTGACTGAATGTAACTATGCTTCGCCATATACACACAACTAAAAAAGAACTTCATGTTTGAAATTATTATCACCTGCCTTACCTACCGACCATATCTTTTACAAATACTTAACAAAGAAACCACAGAATGATCAGATTTGCGGTACAAACAGCGTTGCCAGATGTCCCGATTTTAGCGGGACGTCCCGATTTTTAAATCAAAACTTAATGTCCCGCGCGGGACAGGCTTAATCCCGCTTTTCGGGAATAACTTGACCGTGCGTGCAACGTACTGAGAAAGCGCGGGAGGTGGCACAGACAAGTGTGGACTGGCCGCCTGCCCGGCGCGTAATGAAGGTGGATATTCAATAACTTTTGTTGTTTACTATGTCCCGCTTTCGAAGAAAGAATTCCGCTTTTTTCACTCAAAAAGTTCCTAAGTCCCGACTTGGCAAATAAAAAACTGGCAACGCGGGGTACAAACGGAAAAACCGACGTGAGATTTGTTTTAGTGATAATGGCTATTGACGTACAAAAAATAACGTCAATGAATAATGTTTATCCATTAATTAATATGTTGATTATATCTTTACAGGTTTTAAGTTATCATGCTTCTGCATCGATAGACGACGCCCAAAGACTAAGGGTGAGTATAACTTTGAATAATTTCGGTCACATAAAAAATGGTGTCGATTTATGAAACCATCAACCAAGTGAAACTTTTGAAGTCATTATTAATCCGAGCTGCCCACGTAGCACGCGTACTATTTTCCACTAAATCACCGATGCTTGTTGATAAGGCCTGATTTTTTAATAACAATCACACTATAACATTATGTAGGCCCGTTTGTGAGTGAGTGAGTGTGTGTTTGTTACTTCTTCACGTCGAAACGGCTGGAGCGATTTTAATAAAATTTAGTATAGAGTTTGCTGACACCCTGGATTAATACATAGGCTACGTTTTACTCTCTCTACTCTCTAATAAACCGCGGGGCACAGCTAGTTACTTATAAATGTAATGCGACATGCTAAAGAAGAACAAAAAACATGTGGCGATGAAATAAAACTTTCATTTTAATTTGTATTACAAATTATATGGCTCGACATCATAGTAGGTAGGTATACATACATTTCCCGAAACCATAATTCAGATGGTAAATTACACGCGCCTCTTAAAACGTAGCTTTTCTTTATTAAAAAAGTTATCTCTCAAAATATAATGCCCTTACTTCAATTTAAGTATCTATCCAAATACTCAGATTATACTTGTTAGCTTTTACAAGTGCCTACGTTACGTACTTACTCTCGCTTCTTCGGACAGGTCCATATAAAACATTTTATTATCCTCATGAAATTCTAAAGTTTATGAAGATTATAAGGCTAACCGTCTGTCCAAAATTCATGTCATCTTTTTTCCCGTTTATCACCGAAATTTATTATGAGTTTTGTTTTGCGCTCTTGTACTGTTCTGAAATCTTATTATCACAATAAAATTTCAGTGCTGGACAAACGAAGTAATATTATTCAATTAGATATTTGCACCCAAGATGACCCGGTTCACAGGATGGCCTACTTTCAAAATTTTATGTTGTTCTTAGTACGAATGACTTAGAATTTCGTCCCCGTCGTTCGGAAAGATTCATAGACAAAGCAGCAAGTTCATATCAAAAAAAGCTAGAAGCCCTTATTGCAGTTGGTAGTAACGCCAGTGGCTTACGATTTATATCCTCAGCTATTGACACTTTTTAGTAATTCTTCAGAAAAATAATTTGTATTTGTGTTTCTTTTTAATAAAGAAGCTAAGCGTTGTTTGTATTATTTATAATTTTCTTAAAAATGCCAATAGTTGGCCTAACAAAGCGCACCTAACTCACTTCACAATGAATGGCTCTATACTGTTGACAGTTAGGTACCACCAAATAATAAGTCATCGATTGAATATAGCCCAATCTTACTTTTCCCTCCACTAGTAAGGCCCCAGCAGTGGGGAAATTAATAGGCTGATACTAATATCATATTTAAAATTACCCTATTTTGTACTTTAAATGAAACGCCTAAAAGTTCTACCAATTGGCTTCTAATCTAGAAACATCGATAGAGAATCGAATACCCTACAGAACTGTATATAAAACTCAATTTCGACCAAAGAGGCGTGTCATTTGTTTTCCTTTCCACCGTCGATATTACATCTGCCATTAACTTAAAGCTATGTCAACTTGAAGGTCATTAACCGCCCTTCTTGCATAAATGAAATAGAATTTAATTACGTTTCGTCTGTTAATCCCACAGACGCTAAGGATACCATCGTCGGCGCACTTCAGCTTACACGAGTTGGATTTCGATGACATAGAAATGTCTGACGACGAGACTCTCACCGCCTGCTTACGAATGTTCCTTGACCTGGACTTTGTGGAACGATTCCACATAGACTACAGCGTGCTGTGCCGATGGCTGCTCAGCGTAAAGAAGAACTATAGGAACGTCACGTACCACAACTGGAGGCACGCTTTCAACGTGGCGCAAATGATGTTCGCGATATTAACGGTGAGTTAAGAAGTTTTTTGAAAGACTTTGCTGATGATGTTCCTCTACCTGGACTTTGTGGAGCGATTCCATATCGACTATGCTGTGCTGGGCCAATGGCTGCTCAGCGTAAAAAAGAATTAAAGGAAGGACACGTACCACAACTGGAGGCATGTTTTCAACGTGGCGCAGATGATGTTCGCGATATTAACGGTGAGTTGAGAGGTGTTTTCAACAACTTTCCAGAGGATGTTCCTCTACCTGGACTTTGTGGAGAGATTCCACATAGACGAATCGTACTGTGCCGATGGTTGCTCAGCGTGAATAAAAATTATAGAAACGTCATGTATCACAACTGGAGGCACGCTTTTAACGCGGCGCAGATAATGTTCGCGAAACTGACGGTGAGTTGAGGTGTTTTTTGAAAAACATGTGTCGTTTAGTGTATACATTAGGTTCAGCTTATTGTTAAATTATACATTTAAACCTTATCATATTTCATATATAATTATTTACGGGCATAAATAAGTATAAGTTTGATTAAAGTTAATATTGACACTTTTGTGAGATGGCAGTAAAAATAAGTGCCTTCATGAGCATTACCTGTTTTAATTGATGTCTTAGTGTGCACCCGTCAGTGTTCATTAACATAAAAATTATGCGTTTTATCGCTCTTTCTACATCTTATTGGGTTACTGACATTTTTTTTATAAATATATTTAAATTTTGTCTTAAAACTACTAATTAATCTCTTTTTACAATCACTGCTATAACATTCAAGCCGTTTGCAATATTTTGATATCTGTAAAAGTTTGTTATCTTTCTCCTACAGTCGGTAATTTATTAGAGAATGTGTCATGCTGTTCATAAAATCTCTTCGATGATAACGTCTTGCCAAAACTTCTTCTAAGAAAATCATTATCCTTTTTTCATTCACAATTTAAAGGCATAAAAGTCTTTTGCAAAATTGCAGGAAACCCAGTGGTGGAAGATATTCGGCGAGCTGGAGTGCCTGGCATTGATCATCGGCTGCCTGTGCCACGATCTCGATCACCGGGGGACCAACAACTCTTTCCAGATCAAGTTAGTATTGCCATTGTTTTTTAAATACCAGAGTGAAATTACCCTACTTTTTGCGGTGTTGTTTTTAAGACTGCGAGTCCTGAAAAGCTTCATGTCTCCACCGGGTAGTTGATGGGGTCAGGCCCCGTGCCATCAGGCGGGTCATATTCTTGTTTGCTACTTTAGATAGTATATTTAAAACAAACTTATTTGATGAATACTTACATAATTACAATCCGGGATCTTTTATAAGACTAGAATAGACACCTCGCATGCTGGCAAGGCGAGGATGGCTGTTGTGAGGTAACACTGTTGTACTAATGTGTTTCTATCTCGCGGGGCACTCGAGCTAGACTTAAAATAGTAGTGGTAATGCTTTTCTTGTTTAATGTACCTCATGAATTATTATAACAAGGTTTAACGTACCTCAACTGTTTTGATAGAAAAAACGACAACTTTGTATTTTGAATATTACGAGCAGAAAAAGCACACTATTATTCTGGATTACCAATGTAGCTGACAAATATTCACAACTTACCAACTTTTTCTTGGCTTTACTAATTTTTTAGCGCGATAAGTACTTAGTCAAAGTCAAATTGAATACATCGTGGTTACTATACAGTATTATGCCTTTCCCACACCTGCGCAACGAAACTTTGATCATTCAAAATACGAAGGGCCCTGCTGGATAGACAAAACTTTCTTTTTGAATTTCTTCTGTTCTATTAAAAACCCGTTAGAGTTAATTCGTGAATCGAGAGGCACATTGGGGCAAGCTACGGTCAGTGTTATTTTTAAGTACTTCGAGCATAATACAGCCGAGGGCTCCGCTGGATGGATGAGACTATTTATCCTAATTTCTATCAAAAAGATTGGGGTACATTGAATCTTGATAATAAATTCATGAGGTACACTGAACAAGCAAAGCATTCCCACTACTATTTTAAATCTAGCTCGAGTGGCCCTGCTAGATAAAACATAGATTGTACTAGATATCTTCGCGTCTGGACTCCACCGTCACTTAAATTCATTTGAGTTGGAGTCATTTATCGGACCTATCGATAAAAAAAATACTAACACCCTACTGGTATTCCATCCCAGGACCATTGCAGCAATAAGCTGGAGCACTGCCGTTACACCAACCGGCTGTCAATTGTATTTCTTTTATTAAATTATTAAGGGCTCCGTATCTCAAAAGAAAAAAAAACACTAGTACATAACTCTTTTACAGCTGTATAACTCATCATATTAGCATCCAAAAAGAGAGACTGCTGTCAATTTAACAAGTAGCAAAAACAGCAATGTGAAATTTAGCCAGAATATGTGATAAGTTATATTAAATCTGATTTCCTTGTTAACTCCAGGGCGTCATCACCGCTCGCGCAGCTTTACTCCACTTCGACGATGGAACACCACCACTTCGACCAGTGCCTGATGATCCTCAATTCGCCCGGCAACCAGATCTTAGCAAACCTCTCTTCAGACGACTACGAGAGAGTGGTCAAAGTGTTGGAAGATGCAATACTCTCCACAGATCTGGCTGTTTATTTCAGGTACTGTACACTCTTTTCTTTATTTACATAAGAATCCAGGATTAGAACCTTTTTTCAGACGAATACGAGAGAGTGGTCAAGGTCTTGGAAAACTCAATACTCTCCATAGATCTGGCTGTTTATTGTAAGTAATTTTATTCTTTATTTACCTAAGAACTACCACAACTTCGATTAGTGCCGGATGATCTCAACTCGCCCGGCAACTAGATCCTGGCGAACCTTTCTTCAGAAGACTACGAGAGAGTGGTCAGGGTTATAGACGACGTAATACTCTCCACAGATTTGGCTGTTTATTTCAGGTCTTTTACATTAATTTCTTTAAGTATTTAACTAAGAACTGTACATCACTTCGACCAGTGCCTGATGATTCTCAAATCACTCGGCAACCAGATAATGGAGAACCGTACCCCTAGCAAGAACCAATATCGAATTCGAATAGTTTTCGAGTCCGAAATGTCATTGTCAAATTTTGTATGGAAACTTGAACAGCAGCGCCACAACGGATGTAACGAGAACTAAATCAGTACATTGGACAATGACATTTTGCATTCGCAAACTATTCGAATTCGATGTTGGTTCGTGCTAAGGGTATCGTTCTTCTGACGACTACGAGAAACTGGTCAAGGTACTGTTACTCTTCACAGATCTGACTGTTTGTTTCAGGCACATGCTTTAGACTTTATTCTTAATTTACCTAAGGACTGTATTGCACCACTCGACCTAAATAGAATGAACATTCCTTAGCAAGCTGTAAGATAAATCCCAACTTGAACTACTCTCCTCTCGATCACCTTGTCTCTTCCACGCTTTCCTACAGAACAGCAATCTCATGCAAGCATCGCTCAGTAGATTTATTTAAGTCTTTTATTTTATATCAAAAGCGTCAAATTAAACTCCTGATCGTTTTTTGTTTCAGCAAACGGAAACCCTTCATAGAATTGGTGAGCAGAGAACGCGCCGTTTCTACCGCATGGGGCGAATGCGAGGAACGACGCGCCTTACTGCGCGCCATGCTGATGACGGCGTGCGACCTCGCCGCCATCACCAAGCCGTGGCCCGTCGAGCGCCGCGTAGCCGCGCTCGTCGCCGGCGAGTTCTTCAGGCAGGGCGACCTCGAGCGCCAGAACCTGAACCTGACTCCTATAGTAAGTGCCACACAGAAAGAGAGAGCATGCTGATAACGGCGTGCGACCTCGCCGCCGTCACCAAACAGTGGCCCATCGAGAGCCGCGTAGCTGCGCTCGTCGCCGGCAAGTTCTTCAGGCAGGGCAACCTAGAACGCCTATAGTTAGTAAATAAGAGCGTGCGCTGTCTTAACCGGGAACATGAGCGGACGCCCGCTCCGCGTGCAGTTTCGTGCCAAATTTCATAGGGCAGCGCTACGTGAGGTGGGTCACCCGTAGCAGTGTTGCGCTCTACTCTTCTTCGGGTAATACTTATGAGACCCCTTTATCGAGAAACCTGCAGAACACAGAAAGAGGTGAGAAGGGCCTTGTGGACGGGGCAGGCGCGCCACAGTTATGTGTGAGCAAATGCTCATAACTTGGTTAAATAAATAAATGTTTATTGACTTGGATCAAGTTACAATATTTTTATTCAGATCTGACAAAATTAGTGACAATAGGCACTAAGAAGTTCGAATATTGTAAAAGGTGACTACTGTTGACCGTAGTAGTATAACCTGTATTACAGGAAACTCCCCTCTATGTACGGTCGCTGTCAGAAAATTTTTACCACCTTAAGGATCATAATTGCATGCACACGTTTATGTCACAAGTTCTAAATGTCTTTTTCATAATAATTTGATTGACCATAGATTATCTTTTTTGTAATGATATGACAATCAATCGCTCTAGGCGATGGACTGACTACTATCAAGGTTTGATGTTTTAAATACTTCGTCTCACACTAGGATTTCCTTCTGTATCGTAGGTGTAATTCAAACATCTTACATGCACATACGCCCAGACCAGGACAAATTTCTGTAGGTCATACAAAATATCTGTGCCGTACGGGAATTGAACCCGCGACCCGTTGCGCAGTAGGCGACCACCTCTGCACTAGCCGTGACGTCAAACAAATATAGAAAACCATTGAAAAACGAATATTTTAGTTTTTTAACTAAGAATATGAATAGAAACTTCAAAGGTTTCGCAGAAATGCCGTCCCAGCCAACCGCACTGTCTGAACGAAGAGAAGTTATTTCTTTTGATTTCTTCTTTATCAACCTTAGGAATAGTCAGATAATACCTAGTCAGTTCATAAGTTCTGTCACATGTTTAATATAAAATAATTGAAACAAGTCTATTCATTATGTAACCATTTATATACCAAAATGAACTTAACAAAACATAGATTCTTATGACAATAAAGTTTATTCAAAATGACCTCCGTGATTTTGAATACAGGCCTTCAATCTGCGCGGCCAGTCGTCTATTGCAGCACGAACGAGGTCCATGTCAATATCGGTGGCTGCCTTAATCAAGGATGTCTTGAGTGACTCCAAATTGAGATGAGGCTTTGAGCACGCCTTTTCCTCCAAGTGCTGCCATATCTTGTAATCTAACGGACTCAAATCTGGACTGGAGAAGGGCCAGTCTTCGTGCCGGAGAAGTCGATTTCACGCGCCGTCAGCCAGCCTTGTGTGCTCTTCGCTCTATGAGCTGGCACCAAATCTTGTTGGAATACCCAGTGCCTGTTATTGAACATGGTATGAGAAACAGGTTCCACAAGGTTCGTCAGGACTGTATTTTGATACACAACTGCATTCGTTTTTACACCTTTCACACAAAAATGTACCTCTGTTAAGCCCCAATAAGAAACTCCCAACCATACCATGAGCGAGGATGGAAAATTACCTCGTTGCTCGCTTCTTCACTACTGTGTGCGTACACCTTATCATTTTGTTTGTTGTAGCTCTCTTCTACGGTAAAAAAAATTTCATCCGAAAAAAGAATTTCTCGATATTTTTTTCCCGCGTACCGCTTCAACAAAGCGCGGCATCTCTTCAGTCTCTGGTCCATTAGACGAGCATTCACACGATGTTCTGTTTTTCTTCGATATACCCGAAGCCCTAAGTCTTCATTTAACATCCTTTTCACCTTGGTTCTGCTTAACCCCATCTGAAGGGCCAACGGTTTCTGCTTACGTTTGGGATTTCTTTGAATTCGCGCCTTCACAGCTGTTATCACTCCTGGAGTCCTAACAGACCGAGGGCGACCACTTCTTGACCTGTCATCTACACTAGAGTCTTCATTGTATCGTTTGATGGTACGATAAACGAATCTTTTGGTAATATAATTTTTTTTCAGTATTTCAAAAATTTGAATTGGCGCGTTACCGCAACGATTCAACGCAATAACTGCAACAAAGTTTTCTTAAAGAAACCGTAAAAAAGTATACATTTTTATTTTCATGAACAAGTCGAAATTTGAATTCAATAAACTTTTTTGTGGCCAACATTCTAAAAGAAAAGTTTTTACTGTGTGACAATATGACCTGACTGTGTATAAAGGAGAACGGGGAGAATTCGCAGTGGTGGTGTTATTAATGTTAGGGTTTACAAGGGTTCTAATGTTCGCAAGTTGACTACCAATTTCGGAAAAATATTTATTAACTTTATTGATTGATTTACTGATATTTAAAAGTTCAATGTGGATTTTTACGTTTTGTGTTTGTGGTCTTTTTAATAAGTTGCCATGTCTTTTTAGGGTTATTATTTCCTTTTGAATTCGGATTTCTCTTTTTTAATTTTTAGGCTCTTCAATATGTTATTGGATTATTGCGGTAAGGCTTGTATGTTTTGTTGAGAATAAGATTATTAGGTTCAGCTTTTACTTTTTTTTTGTAAATATTTTCTATTATGTATACACCTTAACAAGCCGTGGCTTAATTATTCGCTTTCTTGAAGGAATTGGAGAAGATACAGAATTTGTGATCAATCTAGATAAATCTATTGAGGCCTAGCAAAACCTCTTGATGGTCGGTTACTGATGACTCGATAACTAGGCTAGTTGCTGGGTTAGAAGTTTTAAGTAATACATTGTCTATACAGTTGTACTTTCTAGTGGGAATTGTATGCGCTAGCAAAAGTCCATGGGGAAACGGTTACAATGAGATTAATCCTCAGAATGTCGATCAGTGTTATCCGCTTTAATATCAATGTTGATGCCGCTATAACAACAACATTATGGAAAGTTCCAAGTTAATACAGGTTGTCCTTTAAGTCACTCAGAAAAGAATCAGTGTTCCTGAACAAGGGAGGCCTATACAAAGCAATTTTTGCGATGTCTTTTCCCATTGTATATATTGAACAATTAGCTCCCTCAAAGATCGGTTCATAGACTGTGTTATGAACTAACTTGTCATTGACGAATATAACAAGTCCCGCATTTTAACTCTTGTTTTTCGATGTCGAAAATGTATTATAACCGTCAAAAGGAAACAGCATTCAATCAACATCAAAAAATCACAGGTATACTCGAGTTACTCCAGGAACACCACAAATTCGTCATAATTCTTATTAATACTCCGGATATTAAGGTGCATCATAGTAAGCTTTGGACAACCAGCATTCACTCAAAATCAAAAAGACAGGAAAACTTGAGTTACCTAAAACTGGTCCCTATAATGAGTATTCTGTTATGGCCAAATAACTTTTTGGCACTGCTACCTGAAGAAATAAATCTTGACACAGACATTGTCTTTACCAATTTTATCTGAAACGAGGTCTACTTTGCAATCTGATAAAATGAGAACTGTTTTGTTTCAACGCTGAGGACGAGGCAAGGCAAACTAAGTAACTTCTCCTTATACTGGAATTCTCAAAATATAGGAAGATGTTTCCTTCCATTCGTTATATTTTAGGACAAATGTTAATTTGAATATTTGTTTTCTTACAGGATATAATGAACAGAGACAAAGAAGATGAACTCCCTGCTATGCAAGTCAAATTCATAGATACGATATGCCTTCCAATTTATGAGGTAAGGGATACAAAGTTCCATTCAGATTTCTAACTCAATGCTTCTAAATCTTTGTAATATTTATATTACAAAGATTTCGTAAGTTAATAGATTTAAATTAAAAGAAAATAATATATAGAAAAACGCCGATAGGAATGTTTTGAGTAGGCACAGTTGTTGGCGCATTTGATTTGTGGAAGTGAAGCAATTATCGCAATGATACCCTTAAGATGGATCAACAAAATATTACTCCGTATTTCGGAAGGCAATCGGTCTCAGCTGTACCTGCACACAATTATCTGCCCTAGTAAAATTTTCCCTATTCCATTCATAGGGAAGGTTTTTGCCTCAGCATTGGGGACACTAATAGTCTACTGATCACATTTTTAACATTTTATATTGTCGTTGCAGGCATTCGCAGTATTGTCATCAGCATTACAACCAATGCTAGATAGAGTGAAGAGCAATCGTGCGCATTGGATCGATTTGGCCGACAACGACAAGAGCACCAACGAGAAAATCGAATACGGCCTAGACAAAAACCATATACAAGAGAGGACAGACAAGTCCAGTATAAGTTCTCAAAACGTCGACGACACAGAGAACACATATGAGGGAGATAGCAGTGGTGCCGTCAGCCTCTCTTCAGAAACTAACTCCAAATACGACAATCTTGAGAATCCAGTCGTAGGACTTCTCTCTAACAACGTTCTCACGTTGCCTCGAGACCCCAAGTTCTGTCAGATGAACGACTTAAACTAAACGCTCCTTAGTGCATGCGAACTATTGTGATATAGTGAAAAGGACAAAAAACGTCCCAAACCTTATTTCGAAGACCAATAGAAGCCGAATTATTTTGGTTTTATAGCTAGTATCTTAACAGTATCTTCGTCACTGTTCTACTACGCAAGTGAAACTTTTATAAAAGCATTTTAGTAATGAATTTATTTCTTAGTTGTATAAGGATGCCGTTACGTACCTACGTGTTAGTTAGTAACGAGGAATCTTTTGTTATTTTAGTTTCCGAGACTGTACTCTGCCCGCCATATTGTTTCATAATTTTTGTTCCTATTGGTCCGTTTGAAATCGAGGTCGGTTACGGTGTATGAACGGTTTACGTGCGTTGCAAAACTGAGAGCTGTGTGATATTCGTGTAGTAATTTTATGATTTAGTCGAATTTCAAATTCACCTTACGCAAGGCGTGTATTCGGTAAGTTGTTTGGATTCTCGCACTATTTTTGTACACATTATTTTAGCTTTACATTATATAAGTAGGTACCCTACTTGTAAGTTTATATAGTTTGTATTAGATGTTTTGATTTACCTCATTGTGTCTATTCCTACGTATCACATGAAGTAATTCGTGTTTGTTAGTTTTCTTGTATCATTTACGATACGATGTATGTTTTAATTTGTAATTGATGAATAATTTTCGAAAATTATATCTTTATATTAGAAAAAGTGCAAGGCCTAACTGTCGTGTCTAACTTAGTTTTATTGAAATAAATGACCAAAATACCAAAAATTTTGAATAGTTATTTGTGCTAAATTGTTAATTTTGTCTTATCATTATGACGGAAATATAATTATACATTCAAGCTTCGAGTATTATGATGTATGATAAACGAAATGAATTGACATTAATTACTTTAATAAAAAATATATTGAGTAGTGTGTTAATGAATGTCAGTGGAGCACCATAATATAATATTGAATATTATGGCATTGCATATCGAGAAATTAATAATAAGCGTACATACTTACTCGTAGTATGTATTTATGATTAGTAGCTTTTGAAGAGTATAGGCACACATCTAAAAACTATAAAAGGAAAATCGAAAAAGTATTTGATTTGAACTTCGTTTTGGTTCTTATCTATACGTATAGGTTTTGCCAACATTTATCAAGGTAAACAATTATAAACGTGTGGTCCTATACTCTTATCAATTTAAATCGCACAATATTGTGTAAATAAAAAAATAAATTATTAAAAAAAAAATTGTAATTATTTGGTAAGTACTTATTATGAATTCGGGTTCAGAGACATTGACTATGATGATTATGGATTTTTATTAATTTTAGTCTCATAAGGAACTTCCGCCTCGCAGTTATTACTTTACAACTGACAGTTATGGCAAATTAGATCCATTCCAATTAGATTCTATAAACAGTAAACGTGTTTGTGACGTCCGTTTGTTTACATTAAAAAAATAAATCGTGTCAATTAATCACTACAAACACATTTAATCATTGAATTGATCATTCGAATAAACATAATACGCTTTTAGAAATAGCTTTATTTGTCATACTTCCAACTAATCTGTTATGAAATGTCTTCTTCATTTTGTATCTCTTTATTAACCTCACTGTATCTTGTATTAATTTTTTAAATATTACATGTTGCAGTTTAGTAAAGTTTGATACTAATATTAAAAAGTTGACAATTATCTAAATGACTATAATGCTTATAAAATATTTAAACATGGCAATTTGAGTAATCTCCGTACAATTATTTGTATCTTTATTATGAATATTTCTACTTTTTAATCGTTTCTCGAGATAATTTCATTGTAGGTATGTACGTCAGATTACCCAAACAGTTATTTAATAATTTCAAAGAATCTATACAAGAATCAATTTTTCAATTAAAAGAAAGTTTTGACCAATTCTACGTAAAAGTATACAAGATGTAATAATATTTTCTAATTGGAATAATTCTCTCTATAAACTTTAGATATTTACTTGAAAATTTTACTTGAAATCTCAAATTAATTGTGGTAATAAAATATGTACAACCTTAATCATAAGATCGCTGTAAGTATTATTAGAAATTAATTAGAGAAATAATTATTGTAATTCACTAAATGATGTGTGAATAGATATGGAGGTTGTTTTGTTCCAAACAAAAAAATATTTATTTATGATTAAAGAAATTTTGAAATAAAATTATATGTTTTATTTAAATTGTACCGAAGAATAATCATTAATTAACCAAAAGAAAAATGTACAAACAAAAAATAAGTAGTGTCTAAGCTAAAATAATTGAAATGAACTGAGAGGGTCTGAAAAATGCGCAGTTTCGTTTAACTGGCAAAAAGGAATTTAAAAAAATTTAGCATCGGCCAATTAGGTTATAGAAGCGTATCTTTTTTTGTTTTTTAAGGGACTTTCTGACTAAGGGATCTTTCAATTTATGCGTTTCTTGACGGCCTGCTGCGGTGCCGAACGGCATATTTAAAAAAACCTATTTTTTTTTGTCAAGTAAGGTCTTCATATTATTTTCATGGTCACTCTCAGTCATATCTTCAGTAGAAAGCTCGATATTAAATCAATAGTGAACTACATGTAGTTACCAACTGTTAGACTCTTACGGCCAGTTCCAATAATTAATCAACCTCCCTCAGCAACTTCCAGTAAAAGGTAAAGGTTTTTGCTTTTGATATTAGTTCTGAATAAAACTTCTAACTATATCTAACCACTTTATGATTTCATGTACTTTAACTAATTTTATTTATCAAATCTGACTAGTTACATTTTCATAATATTATCTACTTATTTTACTTTCATAATGAAATAGAAGTCCTTGAATCAACACATTGAATTGATACTTATATTTATTGTAGGACCAAACGACTTACCAGAGGTATCAAACGACTAATCAAGTAAAATTCAAAAATGCTTTTTCTGATTATTTTACGTATGCAATCACAGTTGTTAATCAGTACCTACTTACCTAGATGGACAAAATTGTGTCCGACACCTGGTGGGGGACATACCTTACTAAAACGGAAAACTTTCCAACGTCTGCCTGAGGGCGAAACAGCCGTCGCATGATGTTGGGCGGTCGCACGAATCGACTGCAGAAAAGCCGTCGCTTGAAGTCGGTTTCGACTGCTCATAACGACACAAAATAACAGTAGGTACAGTCGCCATCAGATATATCTGAGCATACAAGATGACCAAATACATCTGAACAGTTAAAATGTCAATAAGTTCTATACACTACAAGTGACCATAAATATCTGATCATTCATTACTTCAATAATATCTGAGCAGATGCCTGTCAATAATATCTGAACATACAACTTTTCAAAAATATCTGAACAATTTTAATAGGACCTCTTAATTATTTATTTATAATGAGATGACGCTGGCAGTTAAACACTTTCCAGTTTTTATTCTTATCACCTCTGTCATGTGTCATGCACAAATAAATTCAAGCAGCTTGCTTACGTATTAGTTCATACCATAAATTAACTATAATTAATATGAGTTCGTACCGTATTGATGCGGAAATGAAACATAAAATAATACAACTAAAAAATGATGGTTTATCCGTAAAAGATATCGCCGATGAGCTAGGGATAGCCGTAAGTATCACGGAGAAAAATGCTAAAAATCAATTGCCCACAAAACATGAAACTTTATTCACAAAGTATAAAATTGTATTTATTTCAGAGAAATACTGTATATTTATGGCTAGAAAGATGGCAGCAAGGAGAAACATTAAATAATCATGTTTCATTTGGTCGCCCGCGTATTACTACAAATAACCAAGACATAGCTATTATAGATAAAGCCAAAAATGACAGATTTATAAACACTACACAATTTTCAAGCACATTCGAAATATCCACTAGCACCATTAGAAGACGATTAAAAGAAGGAGGTTTAAAAAATAGAGTACCGGCAAGAAAACCAACTCTCACGCCAAGGCACAAAATGCAGCGGTTACAATTTGCAGCTAATTATTTAAATTTTAATTTTCAAAACGTTATTTTCATGGACGAACAGATTTCTGCTCATCAGATAATGGACGATTAAGTTTGTGGCGACCCGAAAACACACGTTACTTAGAACAAAATGTGCTGCCTAATCGCCGGAGTGGACGTATTTCAATTGGATTTTGGGGAGGGATGTGCAAAGATGGTCCTGGTGAGCTTGTGGAAATAAGTGGACGAATGAATGCAATGAATTATAAGGAACTTCTGGAAGATACTTTTCTTCCTACAGCTCAAGTTTTTTATCCAGAACAACAAATTACATTCCTTCAAGACAACAGCTCAGTACATAATGCTCGTACAGTACTGACATGGATTAATGAACAGAGAGAACTAACTTTAATCAAACTACCACCAAAAAGTCCAGACCTCAATCCCATCGAAAACCTTTGGGGTAAATTGGTGCAAGAGTGGGATGGGAATCAATGTCGAACAACAGAAGCCTTAAGGCGACATGCAAATGATGTTTGGGAATCGTTCAGAGGTCGAGGTTTTTGTGAGAAGGTAGTTGGTTCCATGAGGAAACGTTTACAAGACGTATTAAATGCAGAAGGAGGTTACACAAAATACTAATGTTTCATGAGAAGTATATAATTGGTCAGCCTTTAAATAATTTGGTCGGCACAAAAAGATTTTGTAAGCAATTTAAAAAATCAGGCAGCAATCCTTGTTCGGCAAATAATTATATAATGGTCAAAAATTTAATATGAGAGTATACAAGATGGCTCATTTAAATGGGTCAGTATGGGAAAGTCTGAACTATAATATATACGAAGATCTGTTCTTAGGAACTTTGTCATCGATTTTAATAAAAATTAAAACTGCATTCATACATTTAAGAAAAACCCTGTGGTCAGCTCGGGAATCAAACCCGGTCGTTTTGAAAAAAAAACTAACACTATTTCCTATTTCTATTTATTAGTAAGATAAGTTACCTATACGTGTTAAATTTTGTATTAAAAAAACGGTGGTCACTTAGAACCTCTACTGAAATAATTTAAATTATGTGACAAAAATGCGTTTTACTCATTTTAGACATCACTTTTAATAGAAACATTTACTGCTTCAGACCTACATAATCGATATTTAAATAGAAATAGTGTAAGTTTTTTTTTCAAAACGACCGGGTTTGATTCCCGTGCTGATCACAGGGTTTTTCTTAAATGTATGAATGCAGTTTTTATTTTTATTAAAATCTTGTTCCTAAGAACAGATCTTCATATATATTATAGTTTCAGACTTTCCCATCCTGACCCATTTCAATAAGCCAACCTGTATAATGAGAGTGGAGGGTTACCCGGGGAGAGGAAGACCGAAGAAAAGATGGATAGATTGTGTGAATGAGCACATGGCCAGTAAGGGAGTGAGTGTTGATATTGCGAGTGATAGAGGAGAATGGAAGCAAGCGGAAGACATGTTTCGCCAACCACAAATAGAATGGTCAAAAATGAAATCATAAAAAGGCAGCTTACAATAACATGGATCTGCAAGATTTCATAATCCATGTCTGTACTGTAGATTGGTTAGCAGGAGAAAATATGTCTATAAGCAGTATATTTGAATAGTATGCATATTTAAAAACCAGTCAAGTGCGACTCGGACTCGCTCCGTATCATTATCTAAATAAATATTTTTATATTGAATTAAATGTAAATTGCGGTTGTGTTTTTTTTAAATTCGTCATATTATTTGTAAATAATATGACGTATTTAAAAAAACAAATTACTTGACCTCGTTCAAATCAACTTTTGCTAGAAGTTTGCATGGTAATGTACAGACACGAGCTTTAATCTGGGCCCCACCTTTGAATATCGTGTAGCAATCTGCTGCAAGCTATATAAAGCTAATATTTTAATGCAAAGTCAATGTCATAATGTTTACCATTGACAACTTAACGTTTCTAGGGGCAACCATGCAATTACGTCATCTGAAGCGACAGCAAAAGATCATTTTCGATGTTATGTTATGTTCCGTTTCCGAATTATACTTTGTAAAAATGTCACATTAAACTGTTTTCTTCACTGACACTGACACGAAATAGTATTTTGTAAAAAGGTTATCATTTCAAGGGTCGATTCGTTATGACATTATGCCATCAAAACACTATCAAAGTAAAATATCGACCTTATTGCATTATGAATTCTAACAACATTTAGTGGAAATGGGTCCCATATTAAATTTATAGACCTATCAATTTTATAGACCTATCCATACCCCACACGTAAAGATTTGATTAAAAAAAATTCTAAGTCCATACGTTTTTTTTTCTATTTTTGTATGAATATCGTTTTTTTTTTTGCCATTTGGCTACGGAACCCTAAAAATGGTGAGCAAAATAACTAATTGGTCTGCGTTTTTGTTGAAAAGTCGACAATATACGTTACGGCCGCCTACGTCTGTTAGAAATTCCCGTCTAAACGGGCATTGATAATATTGGGAAATTATTAAGCTAATAATAATACGTTAATTTCAAGAACCTTACTAATTGCCTGATAACTTTTTGATTTGATCTCATGTATAATTATAAGAATAAAACATTTTGTTACTATTTAATTTTAAACTCATTGTATCAGAAGTTGCTTTTTTTTATTTCGATCTCGATTATAATTTTATTATAATAATAAATACTTAAGCATAAGTTTCTACTGAGGTAGGTACCAAGTTAATTCGTTTACATTTTTTGATTATTTAACTCAATAAAAAATTATAAGAATTAAAATTTTTTTTTATTAATTTTCACTTTTATAAATAATACATACCCAAACCAAACAAACACATCCACTCAGACAGTAAATAAATTTTTTGTAAGGATGGCGCCCAGTTTGAGCATGACAAGTACAGAATTCCATTTTCCACTGCAATGGAAATAGTGGAACAAATGTTTCCTCCAAATTATTACTTATTTCTATTGCGGTTAAAAAACGCAGTTGTCTTATTTTTAAATAAATTTCTAAGAAGATATTGAGAATTTAATCTATAGAATAAAATAAAAACATAACTTCTCGTTAATTATAAAAAAATGGATGCGTGTAACTTATGTACGCGCGTGAGAAGTTATACTTCTTTAGCATCATTAAAAATATTTTTTAATTGCATGCAAATAATTAATAATTACAATAAAATAATAAAAGGACTGGAAAAGGATAGTTAACACAGTCAATTAAGTTCAGTTTTAATTTGAAAAATTAAATAAATATTCAAAATATTCAATTAAAATCACTACTGAATTTAAGTTATTAGTCCATATGTAATTAGCACTTGTAAGTAACTAAAACACGTTGTGTCTATATAGAAACATGTGGATAAATATTATAAATATGAAAACAGTGATCAGAGGCGACGAGCATGCCAACATTGTTTTTGACAACGCGATCATCTTATGGAGCTCCGCGGATCGTTCAAAGTACCTTTCGAACAGATGTCTAATAATGGTGGATTATTAACCACTTAGTGGTTAATAATCCACCATTATTAGACACTAATATTCATAACGCGCCCGCGGCCAACTTCATGGTGTTACTATTGTGTTACAGTGATGCGCGCGCATCTCGAAATTTCACTCACATGATTTTTTCATAACGCGCCCGCGGCCAACTTCATGCTGTTACTTTTGGGTTACAGTGATGCGCGCGCATATAAAAATTTCACTCTCATCATTTTTTCATAACGTGCCTAAAGAAGTATAACTTCAAAAATAAATAGAGAAAAAATTAGGCATCTTCCATTTCTACTACTCGTGGTGACCTACACGAATGATTTTCTGATAGATTTTTATTCCCTTCTCATCGTATATTCTTATTCCTTATATTTAGCCTTTGTTTTTAGTTCATCCTTTCAATCACGCAGTAACAAAATATGTAAGCTCAGTGCATGATCTGCGTAGATACATAATCATTGACGTGTTCAGATATTTTTGAAAAGTTGTATGTTGCGATATTATTGACAGGCATCTGCTCAGATATTATTGAAGTAATGAATGTTCGGATATTTATGGTCACTTGTAGCGTATAGAACTTAATGAAATTTTAACTGTTCAGATGTATTTGGTTACCTTGTATGCTCAGATATATCTGATGGCGACTGTACCACGATGGAGTTCGAAGAGGAAGCACAGTTGCGGCTTTTGCTTCGACGTCGTCCGTCATCTACAACGGCTAAAGACGTCGACGTCAACGAATGTATGTAATGGGTTTACCCGATCATAGAATTTCACTTACTTTATCCGAAGTTAAGTATTTACGAAGGAAAAGTGATTCAATTATTTAAGAATGTGTAAAAGTACAATTGGGTATTTATCTCCCCAGTTAGAGAATGCTAAACGACGTCAAGACACATTGATGAGACAAAGTAAACACTGGACGCCAGTCGTAGACGTCGGGCGGCCGCTACGTGTGAGTTGCAGGCGATCGCCGCCGACGGTTCTTGTAGATGATACCGCCGACACGCTGCATCTGTTGTTGGCAGACGTTGCCTGGTGTTTGACGCTGCGTTTCTATACAAATTCGTGGCTATAGATTGCGGCTATAAACAGCCATCACGAATATGTTGGAAAGTTGTCCGTCTGAGTTAGGTCTTATACGAGCCTTGTGATTTTCAGTCTCTTTGCTAAAATATGAAAAATGTTTTACTTTTGTTGACGTTAGAAGTTGTGCATCATTATTTTAATGTCAAGTTGACATTATTATATCGCTATTTTGGGTTACAAACACGTTTCTAATGAAAATAATTATTTCCATCCTTCACAAAAATATCCATAGTTTTGCAATTTTAAATTGCTTATCAGTATAATGCCTTTGTTAGACATAACCAACCCTGCTGTTATAATATTCCTCAAGGAGAATTATGAGAAAGAAAACCGTTTACGATTGAACTGGACCAACAAACACCGCGAAGCCATTCAACACGCAGCTACTCTAAATAGAGAACCTACTGGTTACTTTGAAACTGACGTAATAGCCCACAATATGAAGGAGGGCATGACTACTATAACAAGAGACCATGTAGTGGCAGGTTACAATAGAAGAAAAGTGCCGTTACGTGACGGAAAGTTCATAACAGGTGGAGACAATTTGCGTCAGGGTCATTCTATCGCTGATGTTAAGCTCGGCGACCCAAAAGAAGATCCAAGACTTGCACGTCCTTCAAAAGATTTGAGTTTAGATCCTCCCATGAGACCAGTAAAGCCAGAGTTAAAAGAGGTGATATATAAATCGAAACCCGAGTACGGGAGGGACGAGTATTTAAAAAAGCGTTCGAAGATGTGGCCGGAAAACAGGTTTTATTTCGCAGAATGCAGTAACTGGGAATACGGTTGGAGAATGGGTGATAGTGAGTTATGTCAGAAACCTTTGTACGGAAGATGTTGGCATCTTACCAGAACTCTGAGGAGTCGTGTGGGACCTCAACCTGATCCGCTACATTACAAGTCTTCTGATTTACCGGGCTCTTCTAAATGTGTAGCAATATAATTAAAAATTTGGATGGAAATTTAATGATTTAGTATTTCTTTTAGATATCAGGCAATGTTTAGGTAGGTACTTTGTAAGATTATTTTCTTTTCCAAGTTTTATTAAGTTTTTTTTTAGTTTTTAATACTTTTTTAATGTTAAATAAAAACATTGTTAAATATTTTGTTGTATTCTTTTTACTTCTATGAAATATATGAGAAATGAGGAGCTTGATGGCACTTTCGGTCTATGGCAGTGGAAGTTAAACAACTTTGGCAAACAAAAAAATTAACACCCCCTCCTCCGAACGCTGATATGATTTATTTATTTATTACCTTGCCGGTTTGAGTACGCAATCCCACAAAATTTCATCTGAGCCCACAACTGGAAAAGTTTAAGTACCTACTTATTCATAAAAAAAAATTAAAGCATTAGCATAAGTTACTACAGTAAGGTAGAATTCTTTTGATGGGCACAGGGCAGTATTTAGAGTTGTGGAAATTTTAGACCGGGTCGATTAGCACCCTCCCCCCTGACCATCAATATTTTTTTTTATTCCATGGGACACAACCTTCCCTGTTAATTCCGGCCCTGGATGGGCACACCTTTGTGTAAAACATCATAAAAAAAGGAGCTGCCTTACCTTCAGCTATCCCGACCGGACTTTTATATCTTTCTGAAGGAGACTTACGATCTCCCTGATCTCGCGCCTTCTGCGCTTTCTGCCCCGGGTCCGGGGTCTTCAGCGCAAACCCGACCGCAGGTGTCTTTTGCACAAACCGCCCCATGTCCCGCGCTTTTAGTGTATAAATCCGCCGTTCGTTTGATCTAACGGTCTCTCCGTCAGAGTGAGGAAATTGCAAATTTTTTAGAAGATCACGCGGTTTTTGAAACCCTCCATTCGTGGCCTGCTCATTGCCAATTATATTACATTTATTAGCCCGGAACGATAGAGACGGCCGCGGCAGTGGCACTCTCATGTACTACCAGCGGTCCGTCCACGGTTCCCTGCTCTCTGACTGATATAGAAGTCTCCGTCTATCGCCTAGGTATGACCGGGCATCGATCAACCACGATTGCGTCAGCTTACCTGTCCCCTAACAAAAACCTCACCCAACCAGACCTAGAGGCCCTGTTTGCTATGGACGACGCCGTCATTATTGCCGGCGACCTCAATAACAAACACGTGCAGTGGAGTTGTAATAAACACAACCAACCGTAACTAGGTTTCCAACTTCTCTGACACTATGGTGTTTGACATCATAGTGCCCCTCACAGCCACCCACTTCCCTTCCCAAGCAGATTGCATTGCTAATCCCCTAGACATGGCCTTACTAAAGAACGTAGCTCTTAGGATGCGTTTGATAGAAACGGTCCATGAACTCTCATCCGACCACCGCAGAGATGTCTTACAATTGGGCCCTCCCTTTGAATTCCTATCCTCAAGGACAGTGACGAATTGGAGAAGGATCGAGAAACTATTCGAACTCTCCACCAGCTCGCCACTCAACTCCATCCCCGACCACATAACCTCCCCTCACGACACCCTCTGTGATCGGAGCCATCTCACTTCCGCAATAAGCTAGGCGTCCCGACAGGTTCCAGCGATGCCAGATCATCGCTGCAACTAAGTAACTTCTTTGCTAAGGGCAAAGAACGCTGCCACGGGCGACAACCGCTCCCGATTGCGTACCTTGCAGCGTGCTGTTAAGGCACGAATGAAGTAAATGCGGGAGTCTAAGTGGGACGAGGTAATTGAATAAATCTGGCCACCACACTAAGGTTATTGGAAGCTGGCGAGATCCTTCAAGTACAGAGGTCGAATCCTCTATGCCTACCCTGACCAAACCTGACCGATCGATCGCGTTTAATGACGAAGAAAAGGCTAAATGCCTGACCGACAGCCTTGTGACGCAGTGCTCGTCTTAACACTCTCCTTGTCCCTCTCCAACACATCCAGTTAGTCGATTCGGAAGTCGAAAAGTCCTCCTCCGTGCCGCCCATCGCCACCCTTGAACTGGTCACTGTAGATGAGGTGCACTCGTTAGTCCGTGAACTGCACCCGCGTGGCGCCCTCGGATAGATGGAATCTCTAGTAAGGTCTCTAAGATCTTACCCGCCCAACTCTTTTGCCTTATCAGCCAGAGTGGAAAGAGGCCGTCGTTATCGGGATCTGGAAACCCATCCCGGACGACCCAACCCGGAGCCAACCCGGTAAGGGCGGCACCTTACTCACTAACTACCGCTCTATAAGTCTCCTCAAAACACTGGGGAAACTTTACGAACGCGCACTCATTAGCCGCCTTAATAGTCTATTCAACAAATGCCTTTTGGTCAACTTTTTTCAGCAGTCTCCGAAAATTATGCTCGAGATTTTTTCTATTCGGAGTGGCATCTAGATGATTTTTGAAAAAAATTGAAGTTCCGTAAACAAAAATTGCAAAAGTTATTAAAAGTTAAAGTCAAAAATTTCCGCTTGAACATGAACATTGCAAGTGTGATTATTGTTAAACTATAAATTTGAGATTTTTTTTCCTCTCTTGGAGCAATTCTTGAAAGGCTTTATAATAGATCCCATCCAAAAATAAAAAAAAAAACAGTTTTTTATTAACAATTATCGTTGTTGCAAAATTAAAAAGTTAAATTAATCATCGATATTTTTTTAAATATTATTGATGATCCGTTTTTATGTTATTAGAAGCTGCATATATTTTTTTTGACGTGACAACGTCTTAAATTAGGTTGCGGCTGGGAGTCACTTATGAAAAAGTGTAACGCTCGGTAACGTTACGATGAGTCTCTCGTGTTAAGTTTAAGTTTACATGTACAATGTTTTAGTAAACAAAATATATTTCTATAGTTAAAATTTGTGCAATTCTTATTTTCATTCAATTCCTTGTTCCTATTGTGCAATTTAATTATATTCATATCAATAAATATTCTACCGAGAAAAAGACGTTGTCACGTAAAATCTTCGCCCGTAAAACCGACTTTACAGGCAACCATTTTTTTTAATATATATCTGTTACTGTTTAAAAAAATGTTATAAACAAATGCGTTGTTTATTAGATAATTAAATTTTTTTATGGAATTTCAATCTTTCATACAAATAATGATTTTTAAAAGAAAAATTGCTGCTTAAAAAATTTTTTTTATTGCTTAAAAACGCATTTGTTAATTAAAAATTATTTTTTCCCACTGTTAATTAATATTAAGGAACATTTTTTTTAAATCATTATATGTTTTTCTTTACGATATAAAAAAAATCTTTTATTTAATTTTTCATTGTTTATATAAACAAATTGTTATAAACAAATAAATTTTTATTTGTTTATAACAATTTGTTTAAGTTAAGTTATAACAGTTTGTACAAGAGAAAATCTTTATAGATTTTCTTTATAGAGACACGCATATTATGATGTATGTATACAAGTATTAGTGCTCTATTAAATGTGAGTAAACTAATTAATATTGTACTGTACACCATATCTGTAGGAGAGCACTGATATCCGGTATCAGACTGATACTATCAGTCAATTAATGTCTTGAATGCTGGGGCACAGACCTTCCCTGTCATGTTATGGGGAGATTGGGCCATGATGTAGCAAGTAGGCCCAATGTGGATTGGTGGGAGCTAGCTAGGTACAGTGCAGCCGGGACCAATAGCTTAACATTTGTCTTCTGACGCATGGATGAATTCAAGAAGATAAAATTTTCATGCTCTCCATAGCAATACATGTTACAAAGGTGTGTGTGTGTGTGTGTGTGCGGTAGGTCTGTGTAAACACAGTAATTTCCTGTACCTATCTCGAAATGGTAGGTAAGTATCTGGAAAAATAATTTGAGTTAGATATTTCTTTGGCCCGATGATAACTATTCCATTGTGTTTTTATTTCTTTTACAATGTAAGTTAACTACACGTTAATACCGTTGCCAAAGAATTCGCGAAATAGTCCAATGAGATAAGATCTCCAATAAGTCCTATTGTGTAGGTAAGTCCGTCTTTGAAAGTCCAGTGGGCACCATGTCTTCTTGAGGTCGAATAGGTCCTATTTTGTAGGTAATGTCCAGTGGTACCGTGGTACTAGACTGATGGCGCAGGTGGATAGCGCTTACGACCTGCGATTTAGGGTTGCCAGATGGCCTGGAATCGTCTGGATTCTCCCGATATTTCATGTGATATCCAGACTCCCGACAAGTAACGAAATCTCCCGACAAACGAACATGAGGATATACTTATTAACTTACCTATATCACTTTGAAAATTGTATTGGGCTCATAAACTGTCCTTGTCCAGCGAGGGGGGGAGGAGGAGGGAGTGTAAATCTCCCGGCGATAATCCCTAAATCCTGACATTTTGAATATTATCCAGATATAATCAATACCTATAAGATTATTTATACAAAGATTATATTACAATGCATTAAAATAACACAAACTTAAAAACTATATAGCTTAACCTACTAACCTACATAAATAAATAATTTACAAAATAAAAAATATATCACCCCCAGCGCCGCCATCAGGAATGGTGCCCAATAGGCTGGCAGCATTGCCGCGTTGGATGGCTAGGCTGATCCGTTGACCAAGATAGCTGCCAGCCTTTTGATCACGAGTCACTTCGGTGAGCCTCTTTGACAATTCCTTAAAAGGGAACGAGCGCTTGGTCCCCATGGGCCCATAGTCTCAACACCAAACGGCACAAATATGTAGCTGAATATTTGCGTCGCTTGGAGCACTCGGCAGAGGCCGCCGCCGCACTTGCAGCTAGGGAGGTACCTGTACTATCCAGATATTATAACTTCTCAATCTGGCAACCATAACTGCGATCGTGGAAGTTACGCAACATTCGTATTGGTCGGTCATTGGATGGGCGACCAAAACATTTATTATCTAGGGCTCCATCGTGCTTCGGAAGGTACGTTTTGTTAGGCCGTCCTGGCTGCATTTACAGTCGATAGCAGCCACCAATCCGCAGAGGGCCCTTGTGGTGGGACATGGCCCAATCTCTCTATTTCATT